ATGGATTTCTGCTCTATAATTCTGTGATAAAATCACGGTATTTAAATTCCAATTAAAATCATGACATTGAAAATCCCAATTAAAATATTCAGCAGGGATATCATCTATACACTCAAATGTATAGAAGATGTGCCTAAGACTTTAAAAAAATCCATTTCAGTAGAATTGAATTAAAGTGGTTTGGGCATGTTGGTACCCTGAAACATAAACAAACAATGGATGTTATGAGCACAGCTTTATGACTCCTCAGTCATTTTTCTTTATGCCCTTTGTGGTCTCAGACCTAGATAGTAAGATCTTCAAATTTCATAAAGCTGTTTAATTCCTCCTTTTGCCAATCCAAGAGAAAACGATAAACTATGACTTTCCTTGAAAGGTCAGAACTTTGAGTTCTTCATTTTGGTAAAATTTGTTCAAATTTTTCTGTTGAAATCGTACCAATGCAAATAAGATATTTTAATATTCTTCAGGGGCTGAGGTCTCTGCCACCTCTCAGGAGGGTGAACTAAGCATCCACAAGTAAAACCCAAAGGGTTTTTTTGTATTGTTGCAAATTCTTTGTTGAAGTCAAAAACCCAAGGTAGATTCAGGCAGTATCCTAAGGAACCCTTGGTACTGATGTTAACTAAGCTATTCTCTTTACTTTCCTGTCAAGCACACATGATGCAAGTTATGCTGTGCAAGCACAAAGATGTCTAACATCATACAGCCAGTACCACAGAAGTGTCCACACAAACAAATGGGTGGGTGCAAAGCTATGTGCCTTCATTTCTTAGACTGTTGTGTTTGACTAAGTCATCAAGTTCATAGCCAAGCTGAAGGTAATCTAAGCTCCTGTCTTATATTATATACATGTGATCAATCACCTTTTATAAAATAAAGTACCTATATATCATACAGTCTTAAAAACACGTGAAATCACAGCTGATAGAGGATGATAGAATTATGACCAGTGTTAATACAGGTCCTGTGCAATTACATTAAAATAGTCTTTCTCTATCTCCCATCAAACTGTAGGGCATTGGAAAATGCACAACAAAATTCCTTTTCATTTTGCAAAACTATGTCTCATTTAACAAAGAAATAATGTTCTGAATAAGATAAAACCCCTTAAAATAAACAGCATTTCTGTCAGGGGTATCTGTGTTTCCTAATTGTTGGACTGCCTCAGTAACTCACACTCCATGCTGCATCAGTTACAACAGTACCTTGACATTGTTCTTTTTACAGATTCAGAATTGTATTTAGAGAGATATAAAAACTGGACTTATGGCTGCTAGCTATCCCTGATTAAACCTAATCAAGTATTCCTGTTAATTCCATTCATAGCTAATTTTATTCTGGAACAAGATCACCCATACCTGAAGTTAAGAGAGGACAGTTAATCAGCATTAATGTCAGGCTTTAACAGCCTCTGAAATAACTTTCCCAAGACACAAGATTATTATGAGATTGTGTAATTAAAGTCTGTTCCATAAAGTATAAATAGAAGGGCAAATCCTCACTGAGCTCTACTGTTTGTTAAATTTCTGAGCACTTTATTTTCATATTTTATGGTTTTATTACATTTCTTTATCTAACATAATTTCTAGTTTTTATGATTGGATGGAGAGTTTGGGGATTTTTTTGTGGAAATGAAGAAAGAAAGGGTTATGTTTATTTTTAAGAGGAAAAGGAAAAATCTATATTAGGAAAAAATTCTCTCTGATTAGTAATTAACAACAAACTGAAAGGGTGAATACTGAATATTTTCAAGAGCACTTTATGGTGTTCCATTTTAATTAGCAACAAGCAGTGATTGATTTCATCCTTCTACCAAGGCGAGTAAGAATAAAGAAATACATTATAGCCACATATAAATGAAAAAAATAACATTAACCCTTAAGAACTATAAATATTGCAGTATTCACTTATTGTCTGTAGTGCTAATAATAGAGAACACTTAAGAGTAAATAAACATTTCACATGCTAAAAACAATTTCAATTGTTTTCCTCCAAATGTTCATTTAAACAAGATAGCTCTATCTCTAGCACAATTTAAAGATATACAAGCAAATATTCAGCTGGAAAAAAAAAGTGTTCTGGCGATTCAGTAGTGAAAATTCAATAAAAACTTAAGTGGTCCCAGACATCTTTTCAGAACTACTTTCCAACCACCTAACATGAAAATATACTAAACTAACAAAGGCTAAAGCAAAACTCAAACTGCCTAGATGCTATGGTATACCTTGGGTAAATAAGATAATTATATGCATTTCATAAATACTCAGTCTTTCTTTTGAACAGGTAAATCTGACACTGGAAGCAACACAGCAGTGGGAAGTTAAGGAATTAGGCAAAATACCGTGATGATAAAAGACTGTAAATGCAATACAGGTAAATATGTTCTCCTAGAGAGTATGTGGGAGAGTATGTATGAGACAATACACTACAGATAGCAATGGTCCTTCGCAGCGACTCACAGCTCGATTTCTTATGAACAAAGCTCTCTGGCTATTTCAGAATTTTGAAATAAAGTATTCTGGGGATACCTACATGCCCTGGAGCAAAATCATGCAACTACATAACACAGCTCATGGAACTAAATCTAACCCAAATCAAGGTATTTTAATTCTAATCCTAATTAGGAAAGCCATTACCCACAGGGGTATTTTTTCCCCTACAGATTCCTTCCCTTCCATTTCTAGTCACGCAGCCATAATCACACCGTATTCCACATTCCACTGAGTACTGCACTATAGCAAAAAAATATCTCCAACAGCAAATTACTCCCTTATTTTTACTTGAGTTCTGTCTTTTCTTCTACTACATTTTAAGAGAAGGTATGCAGTTTCAACCCTGTAACAAATACGGATTATTCAAATCTATGCAAACTAAATGAGACTACTGTAGAAGTTAACAACAGATAACTTTTTACTTTTTTCTTTTTCTCTTTTTAAAAAATGAGATGACTTCAAATTCCTCTTTGTCTATAATGTATCTTTTATTAATTCTTTTCTTCAGTATGATTTTAACTTAATCTGGTCAACAATAAAATCATTGATTTCAAAATACAAAAAGGTTAACCTTCACACCTTGTTTCCAAGCAATATAGAAATGCCTCTGCTTCTATAAGAGCAGAAAGGTCTGTTCTGTGACAATGACATTTTCTGGTATGGTCCTTAGGCTTTCCCAACAATACACAACCGTTTTGATTAATCCAAGGGCATATAAAAACACATTAAAATCTGCTCAAATGCCTACAAAGCTTTCAGATTTACGTGATGCTTTATTTGTTAAATAATAACATAAACTCCTTCTACGATAGTCAGTGTTTCCAGTTCTATTACATTTGAGTTTTTATAACTGGTACTTCATTTGCTTAAAATAACTTCCTGTAAAATTCAATTCTCCACAGTAAAAAGACTGCTTTTAATCTTAATTACGTTTTGTCACTGACAGAAGTTAGGTAATCTGCTGTTCTTGCAGAGCACTATTATTTTTAAAGAAAATTATTACTCCCCTTAAAGAAAATTAGTAGAAAATCCTATAGAAGGGGAGAAAAAGCCTCAAAGGAGAACTTCATTGGTACTAGAATATAAGATCTTAATTCATGACAGAAAATTGTATAGAATTCTGTATGAAAACTTTATCTATGGAATATATTTTTAACAGGTTTTACCATCTTTATATATGTAAATTCAAAATGAAATCTATCTATTTACTGTATCTTGAGTCACTGATGATGCTTTTATTGTACATTAAAACTTCAGCATCTCTGGATTTGGCAATTTTCCATAACCCAGATTTTCCAAAAGACTATTTTTTTTCAAAAGACAGACTTAAAGGAAAATATTACTCAGTCTTCAAGTAAAAACAGAGTTCCTCAAGTCCCAGTAGTACTTACCAGAGCAAACAATTCTAGCACTCCTATAAAAAATAATTATTTTATTGTATTTATTATATTTCTCTCTATAGAACCTATGAAGTAAATAATAAATAAGACTGCTACCCTCTCTAATCAAACACAGTAAAAATATGCAGTACTTCACAATTGCTGCTCTAAGGAGCTCACAGTCTAAATAGATATACTAAGCAAAGAGCAGGGAAGAATGGTAAAACATAAAAGCATATACAGCAATGACAATAAACATTATGTGATTAGATGTGATTATTTCCTGGCATATCTAGACTGTATTTCATATAAGCAATTCACAACACATAAGACGACAAAGAAATTAATATACTAGGGTGGTGATCTGAGAAAACAAAAGCTTTCTTTTCATGGAGTTTTTGTTTCCAAAATGGAAATAAATACTGTAAACATTGTAAATATTAAATTAAAAAGTCTGATGAGACAGATTCAGTAATACTACATAAAGATCCTCAGTGGAATAACCAAGGACTGCAATTGATATCTTGTGGCTTGCTATTAAGTAACTTAAATGGTTTTAATGTTACAAAATATAAGGGGATTTAATTTTTAGCAAAAATATTATACCTTTTTGAAAGGTATAATTAATTCAACTAAATTTTTCCCTATATTATTTGAAAATTACCTTGTAATTTAGCAAATGTATCACATTATAATATGTTTGCAATAAAAGCATTGTTTTGATCAAATGGATGGCTAACATTACACATGTCAAATAGCTTCAAATGCCTATATTTAAACATGTGCCTGAATATCTGCTAATCCTGGAAAGGTACATACATACACAGGTTAGCTGAAATGCCCTTATTTGCTGTAGCATAAATTCTTGGTCTTTAAAAAGGGTACATGTTTAGGTACTTTTCTAATGACAATCATATTTAGACAGTATTATTTATACCTTTTTCATGTAGAACCCTGTACAATTCATGAGCCACAGGTCTAAAACTAAAGACTAAATATTTATGACAATAATTCTAACTGGATCTGTGTAATCAAGTAACATCAATTGCAGTTGGGTTTATTTTTCCCTACATAGCCTCTGAAAAAGGCTTTCAGGTGAAAAACAAGCCCTTCTTTATGTACAGACCTTCATAAGATTCTATCTCCTTGTCTCCATTGTCTAGGGAAAGTCACAAAAACAAAACAAACAAACAAACAAAAAAAGGAACCAAAGCACAGGGGTTAAAAACAACAGAAGTTTTATAAAAGATACAATATACATGTTAAGAAGGATTAAAAAAAGGAGTGTATATGGCCATTTAGACTGATTTTGCACAGCACATCTAATTATTAGAAGATGAAGGTGAATATATATTTGCTATCAAAAATGTGTTTATATACCCCTGTTTCTAAACATTTTGGAAAATGTCTCGATCAACCAGTGCTTTTAACAGACATTAAAGATAAGCTCAATCAGAGTACCAGTAAAACATGAATCACGAAATATCTTTCTGACCTTTTCCATTTTAAAGATTGTTACCTCTCTTCTTGCTCTTCCTGTTTCAAGAAGCAGATGTTTTATATTAGTGTTCTTTAATACACTACACGTGAACCCACAAGTGATCCACTATGCTCCTGACTCCCAAAAGAGCCAGAATTTTATCACTAAACAACACACAGAAGATCATTTCCTGTGCCTGTTGAAGTCAATGACAAAAGTCCTATTGAGTTCAGAGGGAACAGGATCATGCTAATAGTCCACCTTGGTTCATGTGTATTGCTGATGATTCATTTCAGCCAAGAGTATTGCAGATATTAAAACATAATAGAAGAAAACACAGTACAAAATACAATACTACTGTCAAATCCTAATTCTGTACACAAAAACTCAATAGATTTCAACTCTAATGGCAAAAGAAAAATAATAAATATAACCAACCTTCATGAGTAATTTGGATAAAACCACACACTTACTTCTCTCCAACGTCCCCTTGGGTGGGAGCTGCGGTAACTGCCTGCCCCTTCGCCCTACTACCGGAGTACTTGATGGACTTGTCTGAACAGACCCAGATCGAGGATGTGACCTATGAGACACATATCAAAACAAACCACAGCCTTTAAATGACAAATTCATCCTTAAATATCATCAAGAACTGATAACTAAGTAGGCTTTACATCACTTGGGGCCCTTGCAGTCCCAGAGTGAAACTATTATCTCATTTCAGAAAAAGACCTGATTAAAAACAGAAATCCCTCCATGAAAAAGAAGCCAAACTAGGTCTGAACATCCATAAGACACTTGTTCGTACAGTCAAGCCAGAAAATATGTTGTGTGCATATTCATGGGCATATGAATATAATACCCACATACACATAAATTTATCCACAAGTCAAATTCAATGATCTTTACTCAGCATGTATTTGCTTAAATTACATTTAAGTGGCAATGAGATTACATGGATTTGTCTAAACAAAGTAATAAACTGAGAAAAGACACTGATATTTGACTCTAACTCTCACTGGGGATTTGATGTTAATAACTGTAACTTTGAGAAAACAAATAATGTATTCTGCAGTTCTAAAATAAGGAGAGGCTTTACTGAACATCAACTAGAACAAAATGCACTCATCTTTTTATTGTATTATGTTTAAGCTAAGAATAATGCATAGCAATCCTCAAAATATCAATCAGGGGTACTCAAACAGGAACAATACAGACTATGGCACAGTAAAATGTAGTCAGAGAAAATGGTGGTTAAAATGACAATTAATAGACAAAGTTAGTACAGTCCATCTAAAGAAACTTTTTTTAAAAAAAAAATAGTTTCATTTGATGTTATGATGGCTGTTCCATAAGCAATGTCTGATGAACACAAATAATTTCTCATTCTGTAAGAGAAGAATATGATAGTTATGAAGTGCTTTATGTGGGAAACCATCCAGGATTCCTGATAAATGAGAAATCATAAACAAATGTAGTTAAATACAGCTAGCAAATGATTTGCAATGGCTGCCACACCATTATATCCAGAGTTGAATATAAATAGTGTGTTGGCACTGAAAGGGTTAGTATCTATTGCTACTAGTGATCAGCTAAGAATGAGGCGATACCAATTAGCTACTGGGAAAATAAAATGGTGAGCTGGTGGGGCAGGAGGGGATTAGTCTGATTGATTTGGCTGTTTCACCTCGGTAAGGCAGGTGAAGGAGGGGCAGATCTTCCAGTCATTAATGAAGGCATCGACCTGATGAGGTTTGAGTCAGGACGCTCTGTGGATCGGGAGCGGGAGTTGGTCCGCTCTAGCATAGGACGTTGCTCTGTTGATCTGGATCTTTGATATGGCTGTCTATCTGCTGCTTCACAATTCCTGTAATGTTAGTCAAAAAGCAGCTCAGATGAACTTTTCTATTAATTATAAAATATGCTGCATGACACTGGTTTGGAGCAAATCATTTTGTTATGTATATTTTTGGGGGGAGTAAATTTTCTGATAGAACTTCTTGATAACATACAGGTTTTTTACACATGTATGATTTGACTTGCTCCATATAACTTGCTCTTGATAAATGGGCTGAAATGTTTCCAATGTCTTGGTAATGACTATCCATGCAATAGTCTGTTTCCTGACATTAAAATGTTGGTTTGTGTCAGTTAATACATCAACCTGGGAAGAAAAGACTAGCTGACATAATATTAAGTCTCGCTAAAGCTTAGGACTCATTTAATCGTGCAGTTTAATTTTAATCGTGCAGTTTAATTTTGCATTATCCCTCATATTAGTAGGGTTTTTTTTAGATTGCATTATCTCTAGAGGTAGCACTCTTGTTTGTAGGAAACTCCACATTTGAGATGTTATAATTATCATGTAGCACTGTTAATTATTACTAAACTCGGAACGTCTGTCAAAATATAGACTGGACAATAGTGGTGGACTCATATGTGGTGCTCAGACTGTAATCCAATGAAAACCTGCATCATTAGTACTTGCAAAGGTTCCAACAACTAGAAAAAGTTTGGTTTGTAATTAAAAAAAAAATCTCCTAACCCACAGTCTATGGAACTATACTAAAACAGCAGTGGAAAAAGTTATCATTAGAGACGCAATGGGGAGAAATTAGACTGAGCAAAAAAGAATTTCTTGATCGAGCAGTCTGGTCTTTTACTATTAGGCAATTAATCAAACCATTCCTTTCGGAAAATAATCAAGCCCCACCTTTTTTTACAATGTAATTGGTCTCTTTGAAAGGAGTAATGTTTACTAGCAACATCCAAAAATAAATTAAGGCATTTTAAAAGTAAAATCCATACCCTAATGGAGTTATTTCTTAAATTCACAGTCCTCTCAGCTCTCCTTGAGTAACTGAACGGCTACAGAATACAAATGGGGAATGTGTACCCTTCAGGACTTTTCCTTTAGCTAAGTCATGCCTTTTACAATGGAGTCAGTTAATACAATGAGTGGCTGGATGGTGATTAAGTGTAACAAGAAGTCAAATTTTAATCGGTATCAAGAAAGAGAGAGACATACCACAGCCTCATTATGAAGAGTTTTATGTTAGTAACAGCATTTATTTCTAAAGAACATTGAAAACAATATAGTGACTAACTTTGCTGTATGGGTTTATAAAACAGCCATTACAATCAATGTCTCTTCAGGCCTTCCATGAGGTCATAATTGGACTCCCAGAGCAAACGAAGGAATTGCCACAGACAGATTCAGAATAATACCACACACCATGAACCTATATCTATAAGCTCCTAACAAGCGAACACACCACAGTGAGACACATAATGGTAATTATAAGCTGAGGCACTAAAGATTGGAGGGAAAGTACAATGAGCCTGGCACAAAACCATGACAAAATTACCTCACTTCTTCTTCTATCAGCTCTGTTTCTGAATGGGAAGCTTCATCAGCAAAAACATCCACTGTCTCGCTTCTTTTACATTGTTGATAGACAAAGAAACACAACCTTAGCTTTAATATGAATGTTTTTTAGTTTATGTAACTGTTTAAGAGAGCTTTCAGTGCTATGGAAGGTGAGAAAAGTGTCAGCCACCTGCATGATGGTTAAAAAAATGACCATAGAATACATTCTTTAACTATGGAAGCAAATTTCAAGAAAAAATATTCCTAAATTCAACAAAGTTACAAAAGAGAATATGGCCAAGGTCCAGAAAACCCACCTCTATCTTGTTTACCCACATATTTAAGAAAATTAGTAAGCCCACAGAAACTTTCTTCTTTGGTTCTGCTACACACACATAGCTAGAATACTCTTTATCTTGTCAGTGAGTGGAGGACTGCTAGGCCACCCCAGCAGCGACTGGGCAATATGTAAGAGGTTTTATTTAATTTTCTGTTTCTCTCTTCTTCCAACATCCAGTAGGAGACATAGAGAGGAAAAGGTGAGTAGCAACCACATGATTCTCATAAACACTTCATAAGAAGTTAAGACTCTCACTTGTTACTCTTAAGGCCTCGTTAGGTATAAAAAGCTCTTTAGGTATAAAAAAATATTTTTAGGATGTTAGGGATCTGACCCATTTCCCGTATTAGAAGGCAGGGAGGTATTTTTACCATTAGAATTAATACTAATGGCTTAGTGTGCAGGTTTTGTATTCTGCGGATCATCACGGAGCCAGTGTAGCTAATCACTATGCTACCAGATATAGGCCTCAAAAATTTTGTCTTCAACAGCTAATATAAATATTCGGTTTGCTACAATCTGCAGTTGGCATTTACTTTAAGTGGAAAAACAATCAGGGGTTCCAGAAGTGAAGGAGAGCGTGAATTTTGGCAGTGAACATTTTGCTTTGAAGCTTTGGCGCTGCCGTTGTTTTATAGACTGCAGGATTGGAAGACTAAGTTAAATCCTGAGATGAAACTGAGTTGTCACTCTCAAGTTCCAGGCTACATGCTGCAATCCTCTTCAAAAGCGCCATAGCAAATGGAGGGCTATTTCAAGTGGACTTTCTTCCACTTGAAAGTTTCACTTTGTTGTTTTACACCATACACATATAAAGAACAATTCAACTGATAATTTTACTGTCTATTCTTCATCCTCACTTATTCTTTTGTTCTTTTAGCAGTAAACACATGTAAAATATGATCCCAGTCTTCAGAAAAAAACTATCCCTTTTAAAGAAAAACTATCATTCCAACAAGATGCTTGGGTAGCGAAGGTCCTCCCTTACCACTGAATACAATTATGCATTAATATCACAATCCAGACATAAGCATGGAGAGCAAGTTAAATTGAAAACAGAAGTCTCTAAATTTTCAGATATCATTCCAAGACATTCTCAAAAATTATCTAGATGAAACTTTCCTCTTTTCTCATTATAAATCATATCATACAAATTCCTAATTTTTAAAGAGGTAAATATGATAGTCTTAGTTAAACTATTCAACATCCATATAGTATTTTAATGCACACTAACACTGTTTATCTTTGCTAACAGACCTTTCATTATGAAAATACAGTTAATGAAATGTCAAATAATGACGTCCTTCATTTAGTATTGCCTATGATAGCATCCTTCTACCTTTGCTAAGGAAAACATGCATGTGAGATGGTCTATTCCCTTGTCAAAGTATGCAAGTCTTGTAAGCTGACTCTCCCCTACACAGAAGAAAGAGTACAGCAGTGTTTGCTTCTAAGCCAACCCCACCTATCCCTATGAGACTGAGCTCCCTGTAAGTCACCAATACATGGAAAATCTTATGAGTTTTCACAATCTAACTTTATATTCCAAACCCATCAAATATTAAAATTAGAATCTCATAGTATTTAGGTACCACTGTAAACTCTAGTTACTACAGTACAGTATCTAACCAAAGGTGCTACCACACTTTATTTGATCTACTGATTTATCTGCATTGTTCTATATTCATATTCTGGAAATTTCAAACACTAACTCTTTTCCCAATGCAGAAAATAACCATTTCTAATTTTTAATTTTTCAGATTTGTTACTTTCTTAACAAATAAAAAGAATTTTCAACAAATGATTTTACTCATTGATCTAAACTTATCTATAGAGGAAGCCTTTTATAAAAGCTGAACATTTTCCAGCAGTAACAGCTGTTTCCAATTGTAACAGCTTATAGAACAAATAGAAGTTATTTCTTTCCCCAGAATGACTGAAAACACAATTTATTTGAAAGCCCATGTTAATTTTTTTTTTTACTGTGTACAAACTATGAGACCATGCCAATCACAATTTTAGTATTAGGTTTTTCTCGTAACAAAAAACTGAAGAAATAAAAATAGAATAGCTGTAGGAATACAGTACACTAAAATCCAGCTCCTACTTCATATTTTTTCATCTAGAAGCACTGAGCACAGAACAAGAAAAATACAACAATACACTTTCTAATTATCATAATTTCAATATCCAGCTAATATACAAGGCAATACCTGTCAGTGTCTGTGGATGGCTGCTGGATTTCAATCCTTGGACATGTTATTCTTCTACTAGCTATAGGAACTTTGCTGTTTAGTCACAGACACAAGATCCTCTGTTAGCATAACATAGATAAGCATGTCTACAAACAACTGAGATTTCTAGTACCAAGCAAACTTAAATTTGAGTCATAAATATTGCAATGGAAAATGGGAAGGAGCAGTACACTGTCAAATGTCTACATAAACTGGTGACGGGATAAATCACCAAATCACTCATCTATACCTCTAGGGAAACTTAATATAAAATTATGTGCTATAGTTTTTAAAAGGTAGGAATGTAATGCTTTTAGGTACTCTGGTTAAGGAAAAAAAAAAAAACCAAGGAAAGAAAGATATTTAAAGACTTTTGTGTTGCAGTAATATTCTATCATGATTTATATATATACGTAATATATACACATACATGCATACACTCATGATCTATTCACATGCACATTACCCTGGTGATAAGTAATGTACAAGTGCCATTGACAGGCATGACTAAACTGTAATACACCGGTGTCTGAACTGGTTTTCTACCAGCTGACTCAGCTAAGCAGACAAAGCAGAGAACTCTGCTGCAATTCCAGGCACGCTGTGCTCCACACTCCTGTGTGCACACTGCTACATCTACAGAAAGTCAGAGGCTTACAGCTTGCCTAAGTATCTGCACATGGCATTGCAGTCACTTTGGTGACTCTGTTGTAGACATGTTTAGTCCTGCTAACACATGGTGGCATTGCACAATTATAAAAATGCTGACAGAAAGCACAGAAATCTATACCTATAAAGATTTACTCTCCAAAATATGTTTCATCATTGATATATTTACTGAGGAATAGCAAAGCCCTGCTTTAAATAGGGAGTTAGAGGACAGGTTTTTCAATTTTTTTTCCAACCTGAAGTAGTTTATCATTCTATGGATGCAGTCAGAGGTTTCTACTAGCTATTACAATCAAATATCAGTAAAACCAACAAGGAATGCAAATTCTGGAACAACGAAGACCGAAATGATGTACTGAAATATTTCAGATCCTCTTTATCTGTAAAATCAGACCTAACTAATTTTGTGCATTTTTGAGGAATTCAAAAACAACTTGAACATTTGAAAGGAAAATAGTAAAATATGTAATTTCTTCTTCACAGAAAATCTCAATATTAAACAAAAAGAAGTGTTGAACCCTTTTGATAAAGAGGCTTTTTAACTTCCAGGTGACACTATTTGCAACCACATTCAAATGAGAGCAAAAAAAACAAATGAGCTAATAATAATAATACTAATTTCACTTAACTAGTTAATTTTAACTAGCTTAAGAATCAGTTTCCAGTATTTTACTCAAAAGTAATTTCTAAAAACATATGAACCTTGCAGACTACCATTTTCTTACACAGAGGTGAACCAATGGCTGCAAGGAACACATATGTTGCCCTATGTCTTACCAATTTATTTAGCTTGCACCAACTTTAACAAATTAACATTTATTCATTTTTTATTTTGTGTCTACAACATTCAATACTTGTAGGCATTCTTTCACTACTAATTTAAAAGTCTGAGAAACTTAGATTTTTGCTATAATGTCAAATGTTAGGTGTTTTTTACATTATTGTTTCTGGTACTTCTAATGTACATTTTCACTTATATAGCCAGTTACCTAATACAGTATCTTGTATTTTGCCTACTATTCTAACTTTTGACATCTTTTACACAGACCATCAATTGACACATATTAAAGAATCACACTACATGAACACATATCTTTATATTCATAGATGATTCACTTAAGATCATGATAAAGTTGATTAGGATTCAAAAGCTGGGAATTCAAAATTCTCAAAGCTGAGAGCTGAAATCCTCTCCCCTTCTTTGCCTCAGGTCAGTTTTATAACTGAATATACTGCAGCGGTTCTCTCAAGATAATAATCTAAACTTCCATAAAAGTATTGGAAATATTCCAAAATATAAGTTTCAGCTCTATATTATAAATTTATTCCACATATTTTCCCATTTCAAAACACAATATTTTATCCACTGAACTTGAATGTTATATCATAATGTATGAGCAATGACAGGAACATTCAAGAGTTTTAATGAACATGTATTTCATGACTGAAGTATAGTGGCATATAAAACAATGAATAGAGAAGCTTGAGAGGGAAGCAATGAGAAACAAGAATTTCCTAGTAGAGCTTGAACTTCAAATACAGTTCAGCAAAGAACTTAGATTATAGACTAATAAGATGAATTAGTTGTAGGCCTAAAACTAAGCATGAACTTAAATATCCTTTTGTACAGTGCAGTACTAAATGAAAAATCTGAAAAGTATTTGATGGCTTTTGTGGGATTTTTTTCCCCCAGATCTTAAATATAACTTTATTTCTAGATGGCACACATACATAGTTGGCCTTTTTTTCTCCAGTGACATTTTTAAGCACCAATAATATGGCAGATATTTAATCACAACCAGGGCTACAACGATGCAGTTTACTGTATATAAATACCACAGCTGTATGTTTATCCACCTTAACTTTTGGCAACAGCCCTGTAATTCTCACCTCTCTGAAGGCAACAAGAATTCTGTCATTTGATGAGCCTAGGATTTCAATTAGATCGTTCCAAGAGAAGCAGATATGTAAGACTTTATTATCTTTTAAGTTCTCAAATTACAAATGAGCAAGATAGCATTCAGTTTCTGTTAAAGGCATTCTCTAAATCCATTGATACTAACAGATTCTGATCCATTTCAGTAGTCTTTATTCTATTAACGTATGTTTTATGCCTTATGGTTTACCTAAAAGTCATACTGGTTCACAACAAATGATTTTATCTTTTATTTCTTTTTCCAAATCGTTTTGTAGCTAAATTTAAATGGGAAGAGAGAGTAGTAAAAAATATATTCCTTTTAAAATTACAAATCTATTTTTAGATATTTACTATGTTAAATAGTAATCTAATATTTACCTACATTAGCATCTATTCAGTACTAATTACAATACAAGAGAAGTATCTAGACTACTAACTAGAACTATCTCATATGACTATCAAAAGCAAATACCAAAGTTTTATTTACACAAAACACTTTTCAGCTTGCTTTAAATGCTGTTCATTTTCAACATGCTTGTGCACTTTCCATGGAGAACTAATAAGCACAGCCCTTGGTGTACACTTAAAATTGAAGAGCCAGCAAACAGTGGCACTCTGGTTGAAAAAGGTAGGGAAGAAATATGGTCTCAAGTAAGTCTCTGCAGCTGCACTAATGTTGAGTCAAAAGATCCTCAAAAACCTCTCCTTTCTAGAGAACAGAGAAACGTGCATTAAAATCTTGAAGAATTAATTCTGGGGGTTATCAGATTTTTTTCATTTTCAAGTTGTCAGTCATTATGTTCTCCCCTGTTCACATTCACAAAGGAAGTAAGTAAAAAAAAAAAGAAAATCCTTGCAAGAGCAAGAAGAAAATGAGGGGGGAGCAGTAAAGTAAAAGAACTAATAGCAAGGAAAATTTGTGTGCTGTCTTGATCAGAAGCCAGCTACAACTAGGAAGAACTAAAGGTTATAAGGCACACAGCACTTTGCATGGGTTATGCATCAATCACACAGGAAGATAGGTTAGACAGCTTGAACTGGGATTATTTCTAAAAGTAAAAAGTATTAGGTCTCAGAGACACATTCCCCAACACTGTGAATGTAGGCAGGTATTATCATTAAAAACCACTTTTTCACTAAAGCAGCCCAGAATAGTGAGAACAAGCTTTAAAAATAGTTCAAATGCAATGTTCTTTTTCTATTTGTAACTGAATAAAATAGTTTAATCTTGGAAAAAAAGACTAGAACATAAGTGCCTTAGTTCTGAGTCAAGAAAGACATCCAGAAAAATACATTTATTAGGAATAACTTTGGTACAATTACAAATGAACTCTTATTATAAAGATTTAAAATACATTTTAGCTTTATCTGTAACACTACACTCTTTACTTACCCATATTTTTCAGCTGAACCATTGACTACATGATCTGCCCATGAACTTGCACCATTGTACCACCTTTACAATGCAGTTAAAATAAAGAAATGTTATAAAGAAACAAATGTATTATTAATAACACGCTAATTTATATGACATTACCACTTCTCAACAAAATGGGAAAATTTCCAAGTATTTCCAAATAATTTTGTACATTTCATATTTTCTCTCAGGTATGAAGAAAATCATCTTTTTCAAAGCTAAACACTATGAAAATTATGGGTTTTTTTCCTAATATAACTCTTATATTTAGCTTCTAGATTTTTCAGTAGTTTAGCCATGAATTTCAGTTCCATAAATTCTAATTGATCCCTCATCTTTTCCTACATAAAAGTCTTTATGTTTTCAATGGTTATTGAGTTTGTGGAATAATTAAAAGTAATTGTGGAGATACAACACTACCAAAAATAACATTACATGCATCAATAGTTTAAAATATTGCTTTTAACTTCAAAAATACAAATTTTTCAATTTTTTTTTGTATAGTAGGGGTTTTTTATAGTTATTTAAGAAGCAGAAGAAAACTCACTTCAATCAGATCAACCAATGATAACAAATTAAATTTTATTCTTGTATTATTCTTCCAGCTACTGAACATGGACTACTGAAACACTTGCAGTATCATTTCAGCAAATTAGTTGAAGACAATGTAAAATACATGTAGTAGTATTTTATCTTAACCAGAACCATTGAGAAAGAAAATAATGGGACCAAAAAAAAGCTGCTTTAAGAAATCAGGTGATAAACTGTTTACATGCCACTACTCCAGTATATTAAAAATAGATACAAATCATCCAGCATTTGGTTAAGGAGTTTCAACTGGATTGCTGGAGTTCTGTACTTTCAGGATCTTGTTAGGGTAAAGCCTTGGAGCTCCTATGCTTTCACTACTCAATGATTTTCACGACAGTGAGTGAGAAGCAAGGCAGGGATTATCAGAAAATATCAAGGGAACACTCTATTATAAATTTGGACAAAAATACTCCTTTGTATGTAGTGAAAATCCTAGCCAAAGGCTGCAGGATGAACTTATTATGACTTTAATACACTGATCCAAAAGTTTTTATGAATCTATTCCTGGGAATCACAGCAGTATTTTTTGCATTATTCCATTTTTTAAAAAACTTCTCATATTCAGAATCTGAGGTTTTACAATATGTTTACAAAGGTAATAACACCTCATCTCCTGGTCATTATGTTGAGGGAAGAACGTATGGGGTGCAGTATATGTGAGTATCAATCAGCTGCCCTAGGTTATTCCATGTCAAATTGGATGGTAAGGGGAATGGCTTTTTATGGTTTTGGGGGGGGTTTTTTGCATGGTTTGTAGCCAGAGCAATGACTGGACAAAATTCGCTTCAGTTTAACCTAATTTAGTTTTAGACTAGATTTACATTTAGTTCATTCTAAATTAGAGCACAGCTGGAGAATGACAGATATGTCTTTACACTCTCCCTGATCATCCATATCCTCAAAATGAAAACCAGTCTCTCCAATTAGCCAGTATTTAAAGTAAGATTTTTTCGTAAAAGTACTTTATTGCAGACACCAAAAACACAGAAATATGATTTTAAAATTGCAGTGCACTTTGTTTTTCTTTAAATATGACTGTATTTATTCATAGTAATCACATAAAAAAAAATAATTTCTTGCTATTAGGAAATAATCTCTGCTTTACCTACTTTCATACTGTAGATAAAAATCAGACATTGACTTAAAAATGGACAGAGAAATATAAAATATCTGATTGTACAAAGGGAGAGGAATACCGATTCGTTTTTTCAGATTTTCTTCTTTTTGGACTTTGCCTAGCCCTTTAAACATGAAAGGCATGATCAAATAACTATTTCCAGAGACACTTCAAAATGTTACAGATTACATGTCAGACTTTAGTTGTATTATGTATATCAAAATTAAGGAAGACTAATATTACTTTGGGTCCTGGCACAGTAAACACCCAAAATCAATTTGAAGGCATTTGGTTAGTCCTTTTTTAAGTCAATATGAGCAGTAACATGTTAAAAGCTGAGCACCTTTTTAAGTGACTCAGGCTATTAAAAGAATGAAATTAAGGATTCTACATTGTCCTATAATCATTCCTAGTGACTGAAAAGGTTAGCCATTAGAATTATGGTGCAGTTAGGTGGAGAAAAAACCTTCAGTTGTACCTAAGCTCCTCTGTACTATTCAGTTTTCCTCCCACATCTAATGAATAAAAAATTTTTCAAGTTAAGAATTATACTTAAAAAAATCCAAAGTCATATTAATAGGGACCTAAAAGAAAATGAGGTACTTAAAACTATGGAAATTAGTTGTTCTGTATTTAGAGAAATATGGCATAAAGTGCAATGTAAATTTAGATATCATTAGTCTGGGCCAATTAGAAATTTTAGGCTACACTTCATAAAAAATGTATTACTCAGCTTTATCTATTTTTATTATATAAATTAAAATACCTTTCAGGAGTATAGGCTGTGTCATCATAATATGAAATAGGCACTCTTCTCTCCTGTCTAGTCCTCCTGAGTATGGAATAAACAGCACAGATATTTCAGACAATTTAAAGGGTGCTTTTTTCATTATGTTTTCCCTTACTGTATTATTAAGATGTGATGAAGATAGTGCACTTTGATCTACAGTTCAGCAGTATACTCTGAACATACATTTTCGTATATATGTGTTAATTTCATCCTTCTACTTTCAAATTATATTCAGAAATTATTAACAACATATTAAGAACACTTGATCAATGCACACATATTTCATAGGAGTAAAAAGTTACATTGACAGGACACTAGTACTTGAGCAATGGAGAAAAATCACCAGAAATAGGATATGTACGTTAGAAAATTTCTGACTGATAAAATGTCAGGAAAAAAATTGAAGCAAAATCTTGTTTCCTTAAGTGAAACAACAGAAATTCTGCCTGTATAAGTCTAGAGGATTCTAAATTTGGGGGTATAAATAAAAGTATAAATAAAGCTCAGCACGTCCAGCCATGATGTCTTGCGTATGTTCAACCTGAGTAGCTGCAGCAATGTGAACTGCTACAGGTAGTGCCACTGTGCTATCACATTAAAGAGTCAAGGAAATTTGGAACAGAGTACTGAGCAGCAGGATGTTCTTGAGAAAACCCCAAGTCCAAAGGACAGTGAAGTCACTGAAGATGCTCGTGTGCCTGTTGTCTTCCTTAGGCATATGCTGAAATAAGTATCTTGTCAGTGCTGCCTCCATTCCTTTTGGGAGGGAAAGAGGTGGACTTCTTCAAAAGGGAGGAACTATCAGAAAGACAAAATGATGAATGCCACAGCCTAAGAATGACCTCAGAAATTAAGGTTTTTGATAATTTAAATGTGGCCTAGAACTAATGATCTGATAAACAGTAACTGAAACACACTTCAGTAGAGAAAAGATGAAAGAGAATCAAGTAGTTGCTCTGTAGAGGGGGAAAAAAAAAAAAAAGAAAAATTCTAGAAGCAATCACAAGCCTTAATGGACTGCCTGTGAATGAATACAAGATAAGCAATGAAAAGAGCCATGAGTAACAAAGAAGGCAAGTAATTTTAACTAATGTATCTACATATTTGCCTGCAGGACACCCACACTGGTGGATTCACAGCGGCATAAGATAAAAATCTCTGTCCTAGATGAGTGACTCTTCCCTGAATGCTGGACTGTACAGACAATGTTCACTATTTTAATGAATAGTGGAAACTGGAAAGTTATTTCATATGCTTAATAAAGTGAAAGATAGGAAGAGAGGTTGTTGCTTGACATCAACAAGGCATTGACTAAGTAGATGGAACTAATAAGACAAGAGTGATTCCCTAGACCTACAAAATAACATATTTTAGAGTAAGCATTGAACTGGGGGAAAATGCAAAGATAAATGAGGGAATATTATACAAAAGGTAAATTTTCCTATATTTCCAATAAAAATAAGGAAGAGGAAACTAGTGGTTTTCAAAGTATAAGGGGAAACTGGATAAAGGTTATGCTATAAATAGTCCTTAAATCACTGTCAGAATATGGAAAGAAAAAAGCATGAAAAACCAGGAAATGTGATTGTGGCTGTGAGGTGCTCAGAGGAGTTCATACCTGGTAAGATGACTCAAGTAACTTGAACACTAATGTTACCCCAGGCAGCCTGGATTCAACAGGCTCATGGAATCCAGAATCAGTTCCTAGGCCCAAGGAATCTGAAGATACTGTTTTAACAGTGAACTAGAAATATTCCACTTCATGGTGGATTTTCCTTTCTGACCTCAGGAGGAATTAGCTTTAATAACCTTCTGTTCAATAAAGCCCCAGAAAAGATTTACTCCATCTCTCTGCTTAAATCCCAGCTTTTTCATATGTATGCAGTACTGTAATTTTTGCCCTTTATTTTCATTGACTTTACTGTATGTTTGAGAGATTAATTTCTGTAGAAAAGAAAGATTAAAATTTACAAGTCAAGATTCTCAAAGTAAGACAATTTGAGAATAGCTCCAAGTTCCACTAATATCTGAACAGTCACAGACATAAGCAACAATTTGAAACAGGTCCAGATAAATTAGTGCAAATATGAGTATATATCTAAGGCAAAACATGTATATAAAAATAATTAGTTATTGAAATAGTACACATATGAGCACATCATCACATATTTTCAGAAAACAAACACAAAATCCCTCCCCTTATCAAAGTTTCTACATGTGGACTGAACTATTTACACACTTTCTATATATTAGGTTTCATGTAAAACAGCATAATTTCAAAACAAATATTTAACTGAGTTCTAAACATTATAATGTCTAATACACTATACCCTCTGGAGAATTTTTAAAAAGCAGTATTTATTTGGAAGGAATTTTTGGATCCTTTTTTGTTTCTGTATCCAAAAGTAATTTTACATTTGCTAAAAATATGGTTATATATGATCTGAATCCAGAGCAAACCTTAATGAATTTCTCAGAGGAACTCATACCCAGAGGGCAGCCATGAAGTTAATATAGAAACAGTTCTTTGCTTTGGAAATTTTTACATGGTCCCTCTTGTAAAGCAATACTCATATCAACCTTTATATCTGATCTGAAGCCATCACTTCCTTTTTATTGGCTCATAGTTTATCCAATCGGTATCTTTATTTCTATTCACTGACAACTATGTAGACCTTTTCCTGGTTTGCAATATTTCTGAAAATATCTTAATCACAGGACTACATGAGCACCTTTTAAAAGCCACTGTATTTCAAGTGGATAATTGTTTCATAGAAATTGTTATGGGCTCAACTTCTCGCTGTCATATATTTCCTGCATAAACAGGAACTATGATCTTCTGCAATCACACCTGAGTATTGTGAATGTATACAAGTAGTCCTAAATTACAGAATACATAGTATACAAATACATACAACATAAGCTTACATAAGCATAAACTTTTATTTTTCACTCTATTTTTCAGTTAAGCAAAGTATGAGATTTCAGGAAGACACTATTTCTGTGTACTTTAAAGTAGATAGGCTTTCCCTTATTATTTCAAAGAGAATAATAAATGCAATAAGCACTCTGGAAAATTCCAGCAGAAATAAGAGTTTTAAAAGACACAGGCATATAATATCCATATAACCTAATTTATGAAACTGGCTTCTATAAAGCTATTTAGCATCTCTTGGGATTTACCCATAGCCCTGAGTAGTCAGTTTTATATGCATACATACTCAGAGTATTAAAACATCTTCACAGTATGTGTTTATCACTTAAAACACAGATCACATTCTCAGTTTGGAATCAAACATGGTACTGTCAATGTGGCAGAGCTAACAATATACTCCACATCAATTGTACCTCTCAAGATCATAGTAAGCACCCTCAGAGTAGGTACGGCACATCTTACGGGAGCGGAGTAATCTGATTGCATCTTCACAAAATAGAGGATACATTGTGTGATCCTGGCTGCCAAAACATAATGGGTGAACACAATGAAAAGCTACCAAAAGATGAAATGAGGACAAAACAACATGAAAAGCAAGCGATGTCAGCAACAGAACAAAACACTGGAAAAAAACACAGTTGGAACTTTGGTGAATTTTTAAAAATTAAAGTGTATTGGCTCATAGCTATAAGAGCTAAAAGACTGTGAGAAAGGTGTCACACTTCAGTTTTATCATAACGTTTAACAGAGACATACAGGTATGATATTCTGTATATTAAAATCACAGAATTAGCAGGTATTAGTGTTTGCTGATTTCAATAATTTTCTTTATTTACTTGTAAAAGACATTAGAGTGATGTAAATAAAGCATTGTCTTCATGGACTACCAATTATAGACTATTGGCAGTGAAAAAATATTCAAGTGAAACATATGAAGAATGACCCAGTGTTTGTGAAAACACTGTACTAAGAAAGCTAATGCTGACACCAACTCTACATTTCTAAGTTTTCTACCATTATACACAGACTAATAAAAACAGAAGTGGACATGTGGGTACGTAGAAGTACATGCATTATCCACACATAGTCACACAGAGGAAAACATATACCTGACATCTCTGTAATGGTGATCTGTGGACTGGGTGTACCGGGAACGAGGTAAAGTAACATAATGACTGAGTTGATGGTAGAAAGAAAAACACAGATATGAAACAATGAGATGGAGAAGGAATGATACACATCACAAAACTAAAAACACTAAAATCTGAGAATACAGGAGCTACAAAAGTATTGTTAAAGAGCACTGAACTTATTAACAAAATAATATGATATACAGTTCTAAAGATAAAATTATCTAGATGATTCACACATTTATTTTGAGAAGCCAGTGGGAGACCATGGATCAAGCAGATAGCTAAAATTTGGGATTTTCTACAGTATTTCAGTTAGGAAGAAAAGATGCAAAAATCTTTCTCTGAAAGCCACTCATGAAGTCAAATTACCTGTTCCCTTCTTTGAAGGCAGTTATAACTTTAGTATGAAGTTTATCTTTAGTATAAAGACATTTATCTGGTCTGTCTGAAAGGCTATCACCATTGGGAAATCTGTCCCCACACAGCTAGCTCCAGAGCCTTCCCATTTCTAAGAGTAAGTTCTCCTAATACTGATTGACTGTAATAAAAAGTGAATTTAGATTAAAGTCTTTCATTATTTAAATAACTAATGAAGAGATATAACACCAGTAACAGAATATGCCAAAAAACCCAAATACATGCATTTCAAAATAATAAACCAAAGGTATTTATATTTTGGTTGTATTTTGAAAATATGACTAAATTTATATATTTTAAATATATTTGTTAGAGCACTCAGTATTTTATAATTACCAAAAATACAAGATTGTTATTTCTCTTTTAATATATGCAGGGGAAAAGGGGGTGGAAAATAGCAGGGTTTACCACTAGGAAGGAATTATTGGAATGCAAAATTGCTGGTCTACAGTTCCACTGAAGTTGGGATATTTCAAAGGAATGTCTAATCACGAGAGTCCACATTGGGAGTGTATACTGATTTCACAAGAAACATGAAAAACCTCATGTTTATCCTC